GTCCCCATGTCAGACTGGTGCTGGGAGGGAAGGGTCCCCATGTCAGACTGGTGCTGGGGGGGGTCCCCCATGTCAGACAGGTACCGGGGGGGGGGAAGGGTCCCCATGTCAGACTGGTGCTGGGAGGGAAGGGTCCCCATGTCAGACAGGTGCTGGGGGGGGGGGTCGGCACTTGGAGGGAGGTGTGCAAGGGGAAAGCCAGGCTGGGTGTCAGGAGGAGATCCCTGCCCCTAGGGACTGCCTAGGGATGGCAGTGCCTGGGGTGTTTAAGACTAGGCTGCACAGAGCGTAGGGAAACACACCTCTGAGACCAAGCCCTGGTCTGGGTCGGCTCCCTGCACTAACAGAGCCTTTCCCTCTCTGATCCTGCCAGGCTGTAGGTTGGCCTGCACTTTGCTGCTTCAGCTGGCAGGGAAGCATCCGGTTCAGATTCAGGCCCTGGGGGGTTCCAGCTGTCGAGCTCTCTTTTCTAGTTATGGCTGAGCAGTTCTGCTCTAAATTCACTCTCCAAGTATTTGCACAGCCCACTGAGAAGCTTTGGAAAATGTCGTTTCCTTTCTTAGTTTGGCAAACACTGATTATTACCCTTCTACTGGTGATTGAAATCAGTGCAAAGCGTTTGTGAAAAAACCCAAACATTACAGCAGTGTTAGCCCAACTCTGGGATTAAAGTGTTGTTAAGACATGCATTCCCTGCAAAGTATAAAACATAGCTCTTCTCTCTTCTTACAATTGTTGCTTGTGCGTTTGCAGATGACCGGACTGGACATAGAGAAGGACCAGATTATTGAGATGGCTTGTCTCATAACTGATCCTGATTTAAACATTTTGGCTGAGGTAGGTTAGAGTTTGGAGTCAATGTGCACTGGTGTATGTCTGATTACTAGCTCCTGGTACTGTTACTTTGTTATACTTGAAGGTGCATCTGCCCATTAGGTTAGAGTGGAATATTTTTATCTTTGATGTTTTGTGAACCATCTGGCTAACAAGCAGCCAGCGTGGTATGTGCCATTTCATAAGTATAGTTTCCAGATGTGTGCAGCCTGTGGAATGCAAAACGAGTCAAACAGCAATTTATAGTACATGCTTTTGAGGGCTGTTTGGATTGTGGCTGTGTGTAAAATGTTAGTGGCAGATATCCTGCATTCTTGAACAACCTTGTCGACAGTGTAGTATGTCACTTTTTAGTACTGTAAGGTTTGCCAGCTGCTGACTCCAAAATGCCTGTTTTTAAGATGTGATTATAACCTGGAAGATGTCCCTGTAAAATTGGCAGTATCTTACTGAACAGACCTGTGCTTCCTTTTTACACATTATGAGTCATATGTTCTTGCTTTAGTGACAAGAATAAGGTTTCACTACTACTTAGCACTGCAAAATACACACAGTGCTGGGAGAGGCAACTGGATTCAGTTCTGACTCATGGATCATCGTTTGTCAAATAAGTTCCAGTTACAGAATCCAATCAAATGATGCATGAGCCTGAAAGAACTTGACTTGATATTCACATTCCAGATTGAGTTACTGACTGTGGAAGAAAGAACACCACTGTGCCTTTTCATTTGTAGACTAAGAAAACTTGATGTTAGAAGCCATTGAGAGACCAACTGGAACTACATGTATTATCCATACAGAAACACTTGATAGTTTATACCAGGTCAGGGAGGCATTTCCTACCACATGGGCTTTAAGATAGCTGCCCATCTTGCTCTGCACAGCATTCTCGTAATTTCCTTAAAGCTAGACGTGTCAACAGGAGGTAGACAGATTCCTCTGATAAGC